TTCCTTTGCCTCTGATTTGTCTATTTTATCTAGCTTTACGTATGACAGATTCTGGGGATATTTGTCTAAATGCGAGTTAAGAGTGTTGTTTTTGTTTCATCCGAGCTTTTGCCAGTTTCAGACATTGCTCATAATCAAAAGAAAGGAAGCTTTGGATTTGAATTCGGTCATTGATTTGACAAAATTGGGTTCTTTCACCAGCACTTTCTTGCTCTAGTAATGAATTGTGGCTCATGAAAAAATTCGGCGCGCATTTTTTCTGTACGCAACTTAAACAGAAGTCTTTGACTGTTGGCAGTGCGTTTGCGTTCACAGAGATTTGAATTATCAATAGATTTTGATGTGCTAGGTTTTACCTCTAGAGATTTAAATTGAGGTTTTTGAGCAGAAGATGATTTGGGATGTGACCATTTACATACATACTGATATATATATGCCCACCATTTAAGGCGATTTTTTCCACTGAAGCCATGTTTTATATTTGAGCTTTTTTATGGAATTCAGATCTATTTTTTAATGTTATAGAGATATTTTTCTAGTTATGTTTTTTATTAAAAATAATAATTATTTTGACACAATTCTTTTCTGTAATCGAATGCCGTTAAAACTTTCTAAATTTATTACTTCACCTGATTATTATTTAAAGGTAGTTTAAATTCGCATTTTTTGACACCAAACGTGTTGGCTCAGAAATGTTTGATATTGACGCTCATAAAATTTTCAATTTAAAAATTTTCAACTTGGAGATCTTTTAATAATATTGGGGTTATTCTATAAGCATATGCTAGGATTAAAATATATGTTTCATGGCGTCTTTCATTCGCAACTAAAGAATGAAATTAATTTGATATATAGATAGATAATATGGAAAGAATTACCTTTTTTCAAAACTTTGGGTTTTAGGCTTTTTCAACTATATATATAGTCCGTGGTTTTGGGCTCTGGTCAAAGGGACACCCAGCGAACTGCGGAGTCGATGAGCTGACATCAAAGGGATAGTCGTAACCACGGTAAACTCGGCGGCCCGTTATCGATTTCTCGGAAAATTCTTCTTCGATTGCTTAGCACAGTTTGCATCGTTAATATCCTGAACTTGGGAAAATACACCAACTGGCTCCAGGAAGGTGAGAGGAATCTTCTTCGTAAAACCAACATAGGCATCACCAAGAGATGGGGGTTGCGTGATCGAACAAGCTGTTTAGCTGACTAAATGGCTCATATTAATACAATTAGGGGTCGAATATAGTTCAAACGTGTTTGGTAATTCAATCCATTTAAGCGACTTTTAGCGTAATTATGAGATTTTTATATTGATTATATTTTACTGCTCTAAAAAAAGCAACAGTTATTAAAACATATTCCTGTTTGATTACAAAATTTCCTTGAAACGTCTCTAAAATTGTGACACAGATTTGAACTCAAATGTCAAATGTGAGCAAATCCAGTCAGCTTCTCATCTTTTAGAACCTCCTTTCTGTTACTTTCATACAATTTTCTAAGATTATAATCAACACTCATGAAGTCGAGTTCACTATTAGTTGTGGCAATTTTTAATTTATTACTTGATTTTTGAACGTTTAGAATTTTAAAAAATATGAAAATTTCAAACATATTTTTTATTTAAGAATTAAAGATTTTTTTTTTAAGAGAGAGAAGAAACACGTTTAACGTCAGATGGCTATGAAGTCGAATGAAACAATTTCCGATTCCGTGACTATTATTAAAAGAAGCTTGAGTGCAAATATGGCAGAAACGTTTGTCTTTTGAAGCCCAAGTTGATATTCCGACGGTTGTAAATGACGGTTGTCATTTAGATCTCAGCCAATTCTTCTTGCTTGAAATTTGAGTATAATATGAAGCTTTTGCTCTTTTATATAGCGATCTTCCTTTCAACTTTTTTAAGTTTTCCGAACGTTCACGTATTTTGTTTGTATAATTATTTGTTTGTTTATTGAGCTGCTATAGGTTACGCTAGGTTGCTCCATCTCACAAAATTGTGTCTCATGATACTTTTTTTGCTCTTGCTTACTCTACTCTTTGCTTCATGAGTCTGTTCTAAGCAGAAATTTCGCCACTCAGATCACGATTTTCTGCTCTAATTTTTTTGGGTAGAGTAACTTGGAGCAAGCTATAAGATTATTTTTGGCAGACAACGGTTAGACAACGAAAGCGAGCAAAATATAAGAAAGGGATGTTCACGTGCCATAATAAACAACTGAACTACAATTGACGATAAAAATAATAAATTTTTTATGTAATATATGAAAAAAATTGTAAAAATATATATATATTTTGTTTACAACAGAAAAATCAAACTCCGCATTTGAAAATTGTTGCCTGAAAAATGTTTCATGAGCTTTTTGCTCCGAGATGCTCTAACTTACTCTATTGGGCTTTTTTTTTGGCAGCTGCTCTGTTCTGCTCTAACTTGAGCAGCTCCACTCTATTTTCAGCCTTAATAAACAAACCAATTGTAGTTTCGAAAAGTCAAAAAGGAAAAACGTTCAGTGTATTTTGTTGGTGTAAAAAAAAGTTCGTAATGTCAATACCTATTTCTCATATATATTTTTTTTTTTTTTGTGTAATTTGTTGAAACGGAAGTAAGAACGAGCATTCATATTATATGATCTATCAACTTCAACTTCAATAAATTCGCCTTGAAATCACATAAGATTTCTATTTAAAATTTTTCACGCTTGAGTGGTGGCAAGCCATCGTCACGTCACGTCACTTTAGTACAGTAATATTTCACATTCCATCATGGAAAAACTTACGCCTGAACAAAGTTTAGATATCGTTCAACTTTATTATGAATATTCAGTAAAGAATGGGTCTCTCGGGCTTTACTTTGCTTATGGTGGACTTAGCATACTATTCGCAGCACCATCACCCATCATGAGACCCATCGTGAGACCCAGCGTTCTTTATTGGATAACATTCAACCGAAGAGACCCCGTCCAGCACGCAGTGAAGAAAATATCACGGCCGAAGTTGAGAGTGCACACAAAGACCGTGGAGAGTCGATTCGACGCCGTTCGCAGCACCACGGACTGATGTATGGACCGACGACGAGATCTTAAGTCAAAAGTTTACAAAATGCACGTTGTGCATCCAAAAATAACAACGGTTTGGTGTGGCTTTTGGGCCGTCTGTCCATATATCTACAAAAATAATGCCGGCAAGAACATTACCGTCAATGGCGACATTTATCACATCATGATACCCGATTATTTTGTGCATTCCTCTGCAGTTTAGGGGCTCAAGAATTTACCTATGGTAAGGCATGCCAGTCATAAGAGGTGACTTAAATCCAATAGTTCCAGCGATATTCGGGTCTTTATATCGGATCGACCCGTTTTTTTATACCGCTGTGACTGGCGCCACTTCCCACACATCACATCGGTTCATGGACTTATTGAGAGAAGACTTTAGTGAGTAGATAATTCCAAGTTTTGGGCAAGTCGATTGGCCACCAAGATGGTGTAACATCACGGTGTTAGATATTTCCTGTGGACATACGTAAAGTCTAAAGTGTATGCGGACAATTCCGCTTCGATTCAGACCTTGGAGCAAAACTAAAGGCGTGTCATTCGCCTGTTACCAGACGAAATGCTCGAACGAGTCATCGAAAATTGAACTCAACGGATTGAACATCGGAAACGTCGCCGCGGCCAACATTTTATAGAGATAATCGTTAAAAAATAAATGCAAAAGAATGATTTTTCGTTAGATGGTCTGTTACACAATCTGAGAGGTACGCTGTCCGTAAAAAATGTATGCTGTCTTAGAAGGCTTTCTTATTGGCAGTAAACCTCGTGTTAGACATAAAAGTTACCCCACTAAATGCTATGAAATATTTGCTGGTGTTCCACAAGGAAGTGTTTTGGGGTCAGTCTTATATTTAATTTATACGACCAATCTTCCCACAAACTGAAACCTCAACACATCAACTTTTGCGCATGATACAGCAATCCTTACTGTCCATTCAAGCCCCATGACAGCCAGTTAAAGATTACAAGAACATATATATAGTAATAGAAGAGTGGCTAACAACTTGGAGAGCCTAAGTGCATACAAGTAACATTTACCCTGAAAAAGACGCACCTCCTACAATCTCTATAAATGGGAATACAATACCTCAGAAAGAATTCGTTACCTACCTAGGAGTTTCATTGGATAAAAGACTCACCTGGAAAAACCACACAAACAAAAAGATTACTCAAACCAAATTGAAAATTGCGAACTTGCATTGGGTTGAAGGTTCTAAGTCCAAACTGAGTCTAGAAAACAAAGATTTATTCTTTCATATGCTTATAAAGCCCTCTTGGATGTGCGAGATCCAAATTCGGTGCTCAGCATTTAAATCTAGCCTAGATAGAATTCAAAAACTGCAGCCTTAAGATCACCAAGGAAGCAGAGAAACTGCTTAAAAATTACTCATTAAGGTTATCTTACCACCCAAACTTTCTGGCTAAAAAATTATGACAGCAGAACTACCCTAAGCGTTTGAAGAGAGAGGATTTACTTGACTAAGGGCTCTGCTGCATCCAATTATTCTACATCGGAGTTGCGCTCTGCATGTATCCTTTATGATTTTAAAATTTACTTCAAATTATCCTTTATGATATATCTTTTGCTGATTCTTAAACGTGAGTGTTTGGTATCCCTAATGATTTCTATATAAACACATTCCTTGATAAATCTAAATTATATTCGTAATTTATTGTACTTTGCTTACTTAGTTAATCTATGCAGTGGTAATGGTTAACTTCTTCCAGGAATAAGAATTAGCTTTAAGATTTTCGAAATCATTGTTAATTTCTGAAAAGGAAAAAATTCAATAAAACATTATACAAAAAAAGTTCGACAATTCAATTCCATATAGAGTCTGCTGAGTTGACAGCAAAAATTCAAACTTTTTTTTATAAAATCTTGCAATACAATCCTTCAATGCAATTAATAATAAACAAATTAATTTCGTGTCTCATTTTTATTTTCAGGTCCCAAAGATTGCGATCTACCCAAAGCCGCAATAACAGCCCTACACGCTGGCGTCAATAGCTTCGGCCAATTGCCGCCGAACGCGCAAAATCCGGCCGACGTGGTGTTGAACGGTGGTGGCGGCGGTAGTGGCGTCGCGGCTGGTGCGGCACGGCTGCATGTCACCAGCGGTCTTTGCGATACGCCAAATCCGCATCACAACAATAACAACAACAATACGAATAACAACAACATGCAACAGCAGGATCAGGTGAGCATGCAACAAGAAATGAAATGCAATGAAATAAAATGAAATGAAGTGAAGTGAAGAAGACAGCGCCGAATGAAGCAAACAAGCATTCCAAAGTGATCACAGTCAAGCGCAAAGCTTTTGGATGCCAAAAAATATTTAATATTTTAATTAATATTTTTATTCTCTACCAATTGAATGTTTGTTGATTTACCTTTAATCTCGATGTTTTTTCTTTTCTTTGCATTTCCGTGCTGTTGAACAAATCAAATCAAATCGGGCATTTCTGAATTGATTTCGAAAATGAAAATGAAAATGAAAATTCGTTCATTTATTTACCGATCATTTTCATATGCATATATGTATATATATATGTATGTATGTGTGATTGGTTTGTGTTTATGGAATTGGTAAATGAATGCAAAATGCGCGTAAAAAAATTTTTGAATTTAATGAATTCAATCCAAAACGCATAAAAATTGAAAAGTAAGTGTATTTTTCTCATATCAACGTATGTATGAATATCATTGTATCATATTACATATATGTGTATATGTCTGTATTTATTTGACTTAGTTTAAGTGTACATATTCGATGTTGGACTCAAGCATTTCTTTAATTTTTATTTATTTATTTTCATTCACACATTTCGTTTCTTAGATATTCGACACCTTCGTAAATATTATTCGAAATTAATTGCTGAATACCGGAGCTCTAGTTTTGCTTTTGTATATTTTTATTTCACAAATCAGTCCTAATTAATTTTATCAAAGTGTCACTGGAAATCCCTCGAAAAACAATTTATCCGTTAAATTAGGTCTAGTAAAAAGTAATACATTATTTTTGCTTAGTTGGCTTCAGTGCTCCGCATCTTGCGTACTATAAGCGCGTTTGGATTGCGTTAGATGGCGTTAGAAAGATGAAAATTTATACTAAAAAGCAGGAGAAGTTTCATTACTTAATTCAGTAGTTGATACTAAAGAAGCTCCAATTATTGAAATGTCCTCAAAGTGGTGAAAACTGTCGATATTGACCGTCATGCGAGCACTGTTTCGATTGGGTAGGAGTTAAACGTTGCGCAATAAACAGTTTGAAGCCGCTTGAAGAATGTTGCATACACAATGAAGCACCACATATGGATGCCACACAAGTTAACGAGGATAAAACGTTATGGACTGAAGTTCCATCTACTGCTCAATCTAAGTAAAAACATGTCTGAGGCGGATAGGGACTGGTGATGGATGTAATGGATCACTTACAGCACCGCCAAAACAATCATGGTCGAAAGGGAGTGAGCCGACACAAACGGTCTCCAAACCAAGATTGACGGCAGGAAGGTTTTGTTGTGTGTTCGGTGTGATTAGCAATGAATCTCCCACTAGCAGCTGCTCCTCTGCGACCAAACTCTTCATTAAGACCTGCTGTGTTAGGAATTGCACCGTTTGAAGGAAGCAATCGCCCAGAAGCGCTGAAAGGCTCCGAGAGCTAACGACTAGGATTTCGATATTCGCGGTTTGGTTCTTCGACAATTGGTTCCAACGTGGCAGCTGGTCAATAAAGAATATTATTTAAGCGTCTTGAGGCGTGTGCGCCACCACAAACACCATTTTCACCATATTTGGCACCATGCGACTTCTTTTTTTGTTTCCAAAACTCAAGTTACCAATCCGTAGAATCCGTTTCGACTCTGTTGAGGCCGTAAAAGAAAATTCGCAGAGGGAACTGAGGTCCACTGATTTCAACAGCTACTGCGAACAAACTGATTGACACATCGCGCTCATTTTTGGCATAGTAGTTAAGGTCGTGTTGCCAACTTAACAGAAAAAGTGCTGAATAATATTCAGCGCGGGCAGTTCAACTGACAACTTCCGCCACTGGCTTTAAGGCACACCTTGAAGTTCGGACGCACAATGTGACTCCTGTCTTTTCCAGTCCATCGCAAATGATTTGGCTGTTGAAGAATTTTCTTTAAGAAATCCCTGCGAAAATCGTTTCTCTCAATTTATTTCCAATAGGTAAAAGTGTTTCCGCGAGAGAGATATAATGGCATTACCTTCAAAATGTTAAAAAGAATCGACCGAAACGCTGCGTATTTGACTTTCTTCTCGGCTTCCTTATTTTTTCTTCAACTTTTTTGCGCAACTACTTGTTACAATAAGGACAACGTCACTCCCTGGCTACATAGCGCCTGATTACGAATAGTCCAAAGATTAGGGTTCATGGCACACTTCATTACAATACAGCTGAGATCACAGCCTGACTCAGCCAATAGATATGGTGCTTATGTGAATTTGCATACATACCTGTTTTGAGGTAAGGGTAAGAAGAGATCACGAGATATGGACTCCTTAAAAAGAGGTGACATGTCTACAGTTTTAGAAGTTCTGACAGGCCACTGTTTGAGAGCACGTCACTCAGAAAGACTAGAAGATACTGCAGTGAGGTTAAAGAGAAGGAGACGATCATCCATCTCTTATGCGGCTGTTCTGCTTTGAGCAGGGCGAGGTCTCGTAATTTTAGGACCCTACTGCTGGATGGCCCATCAAAAGTAGCTGACGTCAAAGCCATTGATCTAATGAGGTTTATTAAAGAATCAAAATGGATGGAAGATGAAACCATTGTGGTATCACAATGAGCCAAGGTCACTGCAACCTTACCTAAGAAATGGAGTAACTACTCTGTTAAATGCCTTGAAGAAAGCCCTGATTCGTAGGTAAGATATTCCCCCGCACAGTGTAAAAGTAGTCCTCGGATTACTATACTAATCGCCGAATCAACAACAGCGCCGTTAGATTCTTCTTTAAGTTGTTTGGCGTCAGTTGGAAATATCAAGTGAAACCCAGTCGCACTCAATCTTATCCTTCCAACGGAGTGGAGGTCTCTCTCTTCTTTTGCTTCCCCCGGCGGCGGGTAATTCGTCGGATACGTTCAAAGCTGGAGCGCTTTCATCATTTGGTCGACATTACCTAGCCAGGGTAGCCGATGTCTCTTCCTTCGCTGAGCTATGTCAACGTACCAAAGGACCATTAGTCGTTCACTTTTCTCTCGAAGACTTCCCAGGCCGCCTTATCGGATGCCGACGCACTTCTGCACCACATAGCAAGTCGGGAGTGATGAGCTGGGTTTGGGTTTTAGCGTTCAAGAGAGGACTTTACTTTTCAATTGTCTATCCAGTCTAAATCGGCATCTGTTGGCCAGAGTGATTCTGTGTTAAATTTCTAGGCTGATATTTTTCTTGGTCTTAATTTTGGTTCCAAAATAGACTTCGATTGATCACACGACTTTTGCAGATTCCTTGACAGCAGACCAAAGAGTCTAAATTTCCTTCTGAATGAGTGTGCAGCGCTGTCAAGTGTAGGCACGCGAAGGACACGGCGATTACTGGGATTAAGGATTAATAATTTAGTATATTCGAAAACAGTGTTTCTTTTTTCTTTTTCAAAACTTAGATCGTTATCTTTTCTCTGGTAATATAGAAGGGAGGTTTATTTTTTGTTCTTTAATTTTTTTATTTTTTTTTTTTTATCTCAGTTTTTCTTTATGTGTATGTATTAATTAAATAATTAATTAACTGTAGTTATTCAGTAATCCATTTGCTCTTCATTCTTCAATATTAGTTGTTAAAACGCAATCGACTATTTGGAAAATGGCTTACGTTCAACAGCGTTTCTATCTCTTGCAGAACTCGGATAAAAACAACAAACAGAAACGACATCGCACACGCTTTACGCCCGCCCAACTGAATGAGCTGGAGCGTTGCTTTTCGAAAACACACTATCCGGACATTTTCATGCGTGAGGAGATAGCGATGCGCATCGGATTGACCGAATCGAGAGTGCAGGTGAGTACAAAAATGAACACACACTTACACATATATATACACACACATGCACACTAACATATCAATGGACAATTTTCACGGTTTTGTCGCCATTTACAAGCAAAAATTGACAGCGAGTGCATTTTGAAAATGTTGCGGTTTTGTGCGAACAAATGTCTCATTTGATTGCGGTTGCAGGCGGTACCGTACATACATATGTATGTACATAAGTACATATGTAACGAGTTACAATGGCTTGCTTAGAAATGTTGTTTCATATAATACGAGTGAGCGTGTGTTGATTTGCAGTTATTGACGGCCGTTGGTTAAACGCTCTTTGCAGCTTTACTCTGATATTTACTTACACACATACATATGTACCTACATATATATATTATATTTAGCTAGTTTTACGTTAATTTCTAGTTTTGCTTCTGGTGTTGACCGTAGTGATTCGGTCAAGTCAACTGCCATGTAATGACATTTCTGTTTGACATTTTCAAAACATTCGAGGCAATATTTTACTGTTGTTTTGCTGCATTCTGGTTTTCGGCTGAGGTTTCCTCGACTTGTTGTACATGGCATTTCGCGGTTGTTCAATCATGGATTGATGGTGTGTTTAGTTGTATTAGACCGCACATTTGTTCAATATTTGTTTTGTTTTGCAACGGAAATTTGTGAAATTTATATTTAGCTTGCAGTTGCGGTTACGCAAAGAAGAAAAATTTGTATTTTCAATGAATTTTCGATGAAAATATTTAGATGTATTAGGCCTAGTTGTACAATTTTGTATAATCTTGGGTCACCAAATGGGGCCGTTTTCAAAATAAAAAGTCAATTTCGTTGCTATTTAGTAATTACAAAACTTGGAGCTTCTTACAATTCGTTCAAATAAGTACATACGAGGGGATTAACAAAAGTTCGGTTAGTTGAACAGAAAAAAATTCTTTTCGTATATATTCGTATTCTTTGTTCTTTTCCACCTTCTCTACACAATCACCATTGATTTCTGCATTCCTTAAGCCTGTAGACCCATTTCTGAAAACAGTTCTTAAAATCCTGCATTTAAAGCTTATCAAGCTCAGCGTTATCATCATTCATTACCTCCTCATTGCTATTAAAGACCTTTCCTTTCTCTCTTCTGTTTTCCAACAAATTTTTTAAAACTTTTGGTAAGCAGACTTCGGCGCACCATTTTGCAGTTACAGTCTGGCCCTTTTACAGTGGAATAGCAGCTACGATTTTAAGTCGGACGCAGTAAACTGACATCATGAGATTTGTTGCTGGTCTTTGATTAGGTGGGTTTGCTTCTACCTTGGACTGCTGTTTGGTTTCTGGATCGTGCTTATAGAACCAAGATTCGTCACCAGTTACGACCTTACCAAAGTTGCTAGACTGACTATTTTTGAATTTTTTGAGGAAAAATTGAGCAAAATGCCTTCGAGCCTTTTCTTAGGCCCAGCAGATTTCTTCGTGTATCTCAGATGATTACCTAATATTCGCTATACTGCCATAGCACTCAAGCCCATTTCTTTAGCAATCATTTCTGATATAAATTCTGGCTCTTCGTCAATTTTGGACTTCATCAGAGCAACAGTGACGCCATCAGTGAAATATTTTGGTCGATTATTTCGTGGCTCGACTTCTATGGAAAATTATACGGTCAGGAATCTTCGAAACCACTTCGAAATAGTGTTTAAAGATGGTCCATATACGATTTGCCATAACTGAATATTTATATTGACTGTAAGTTATGCCGAAACCTGAAGAGAGTCCTTCCGAGGTTTTGTTTGCGTTGGTGGGGGAATTTCGTCCAACCCATCCTGAGCTATCTAGATTTTTCTCTTCTCCATATTAGTTGACCGTTCTAAAATTTTAAAGAAAGATCAATAAAGTAAAAGGAAGGAAAGGAAAAAAAATTGAAAGTCACTAATTGACCGAACTGAAATGAGCTAATATGAAATGTTATTTATGTTGACCGTAAGGTAGCTATTGACGACCACACCGTGAATGTAGAACTGAACTTTTGGAGTCTGGTAAAATCGAGTCGTGTGCCCGAGAGTAGGCAACTCAGGGGCTTTTTGTTGGCGATGGGCAGCACTGTATTTCTTCGGCTAAGGACGTCGGCGTTGCCACTTGGACGAGATTATTTACATGTTTTTACAATAAATTGAAGGCTTTCTCTCATAAAAACCCTTGTCTCCGTCATTCTTGGAAAAACTGAGATAATCGACTTTCACAGGATGCTCTTAATGCCAACACTTCACCAGTAAAAAAACAATATCCATAGACGGGAACAGAAGGTAATAACTTGGTGTGAGGTTCGGACTATAAGATAGATGCATAAGAATTCCCTCCTAATGGATAATATCTCTGCATATTCCTACTGCTTGTTGTTCAGACACTCAGTCGACGTATGTCCGGCGTTATGAATGGTCAGCTGGCTTCACTTGCTGTGTGCGCGGGACTTTATATGTATGTGGGTGTAGGTCCAAGTGCGAAACCCGCCATAAGGTGCCGTATGTAAGTCCGAGCTCTTGAGAAGGTGCATAAAGAGTCATATTCGGGTTTTCGGCTACACTTTCACTGACTGTAATGGTATTTGAGGTGGAACTTGCAAAATCATTGTTTTGACAGTTAAGTTTGACATATGTCATATTGACTACCCTGTACTTCTGGAACCACGGTATTGATAACCCTATATGCCTTTTAAATCTGAAAAAAATTTACCTTTATCGATTACTTGGGGTGAATTATTGGTACTTCATAGAGATACTGTGTTTCAAACCAATTGGAAGTGACGTAGTCGTCATGTGTAACGTCACCGCTTTATGTGAAGTTCGAAGTAAAAGCTTCTGTAGTAAGGTAGAAGCAGTTGTAGCAACGACTTACTCACGCTCGCCGCTATTCACTGTTAGTAATGCCCTGGAGACATCAATACCCTGAAACCAGCCCTCTGGTTCAATCGAGGCAACACGAGCCAACTAACTGGCTATATCCTGCTTTAGCAGTGTTCATTAAAATTCGTCTTCCTGTGTTGGCAGTCGAAACACACTTTTACAAATCTCTTGTGCAGTTATTCCATAGCAGCCGCTACCCCCATGTTGATTCCCTGTCCTCGTATTGTACTTACATATTAATTTGTTGGTGCCTCCCTGACCAGAAGTAGTTTCCCGCCAACCCTCTTTACCTCCTCGTCGGTTTAAATTATTTTTCCACTCATGTTCTGCTGCGGGGATATGCGCGAGATAGTTCAGGACATTCTATTTAAACGATTGGCGTTGGCAGAGTTTGGTCTAAAGCATTCAGAAGGAAGCTTGCAGCATGCCTCTCTACTGGCTCCAAATCGCCTACAGCGTCGTTTTTAGGATCTCACTGTATTTTGCAGAGTTGATGGCATCCCTAAACGGAGCTATTTCTTTTTAAAGAAGATAACGGCAGATTCCGCGTCGATAGTTTGCAACGTGCTGACCTTGTACCGGTCTCGATGCAGCTAACGCGTTCGAGGTAGTGATGAAGACTGTGAGTGCCTCAGAACATTTCTGGATATGCCTCGTATGGATGTCTGCAGCTCAGCAGCTGTTCTTGGCACAGATATGCCCAGCACGGAGCTATATATAAGAACATTTCTGGATATGCCTCGTATGGATGTCTGCAGCTCAGCAGCTGTTCTTGGCACAGATATGCCCAGCACGGAGCTATATAAGCTTTTCTTCCTGCACTTGTGTTACTTAATGAGTTTTTTCCGAAGATTCTGGCAATGAATTTACTTGAAGCAGCTAGTCTATCAGCGCTTGTCGAGAGGATCATCTATTTGTTCTATAATCGGCATTACAGATTTAGTGGGGCCCTTTTGTGCAAATTCATGAGCTTGGTAGCAGTTCTGCTGCCATCCTTGGGCGAAACTCAGGTCCATAGTAGTCTATGAGGAGTCTATGAAGGATAGTTCTCGGCAGAAGACCTTTACGTCGGGGCTAGGTCGCGCGGTGAAGAAGTTAAGTGCTCTCCTCCCCAATGTCTCTGTCCAGTCTAGTCCTCTAATGATGGATTTCTTATGGAGAAGCATCCGCTCGACTCGTAGATAGTATATATTAATATTAAAGAAAATATATATTTCTAAACGCCGTTGCACATTGTAGCATGCCAACCCCTTCGAGTGTGTTTCGGAATTAAAATAAATTTTTCTTATAAAACTCTATCACCCGTTCGGAAGGGGTTTTAAATTTAAAGATGCATGATAGAAATCGGAAAATCGGTAAAGATCCATTACAAATTTCGGGACATATAATCACTTAAGACAGAGCCGCCTGCTGATGCAGCCATCTTTTGAAGAGCTTAAAACGTTACTGATAATGGGAGAGTCCAAGTATTATCTATGTAGATAGAGAGTACAAGCCTATGAGACTACCAATAGACCGAAAGTGGTTACTCTGTAGCTCATCTGAAATCACCATTTGGATAGACAAATATTATGAAGTCAATTGGCTAGCTTTCACGTGAGACGTTTCTCTCGACTTTAGTCTGGTGTTTAATCAATAGCTGCGACTTGCGCCTAGAAAACAATATTCACATTAGAAATTTATAATTTTTAGTTAATCGTTAAGCCAGAATTTCGAGTTTTATATTCACATCATGTGTCCCTGGTTCCATTATTCTGCAAGCTTGTAAGTAAACTCCTCTAAAGAGTCATCGAGTGCAAAAACTACACGCACTCAAAGTCATGAAGAATTTTTCGCTCAAAAACCTAAATTTAAAATGAATGAATTTTGTTGGCAAACATTTTCAAAATTTACATTACAGTTGAAGAGTTCAACTTTAAAATTTAAATTTTGGCGTTGCACCAACTCTACGGCCATTTCTTCTCATTTAACACCATTTGTGGCGCCTGGAAGTATGCTTCATAGTAAGGCGCATAAAGTTAAATTTGTGTCGACTTGGCTTAAAAGCTGCTGCTGCTGCTGCCGCTGCTCCTGTTTGGCATACGTATTTTCACATTTTTATGGAAAAATAGAGGAAAGAAA